TGAAAAAGAAAAAAATTCCATTTTCAAATCAAACCGCCACTGACACCTTGACCCTACCTGTCATCCCCGAGTTCCCGCGCTGACCACGTCAACCACGCGCGCTGACCGGCGATTTCTCGCCGCCGGTGAGACCAACGGCGACGGCGAGAGTACCACCACGTCCCCTACACACCTACGCGTTGATTGGTGGCACGAACGAGACCAAACACGGCCAGGATCGAGCATGACACCGGCCATGGCGACCACGACGGCACGGCTGTACGACTCCAGTGAAACGGGACCGGTAGCGGTTAAACAAACGGCACAGGAAGGTTTAGCAGCTCACCCCGAACACGTTAGAGCAAAGAGCAGGGCTGGAGGATCAACGGAGACACTGGTCGACGTTCACAGCAACCACGGCGGAGCAAGCTACGATGACGGTGATGTTTCGGCGACTGCGGTGGACAAAATGGTCAATCAACCGGGCACAAAGCACCACGACATCGTGGTGAAGCTGAAGCAAGACTTCGCAAGGTCAGAGGCTCACCGTAGAGCGCTGGCCACGACGGCGCTCGCTCGACGGAGATTCTGCCGGCCGCGAGGAAGAAAGGCGACGAGCGGCGTTTTGCAGCGAAATCAAGCGACCAGAGCTGGTTGGCTGGATGTGCAAGGAATAGGTGGAGCTAGGACAGGCTTTGCCGAGACGGTTACAGCGCTAGGTCGATGGCGAAAGCTCGACGGAGCAGCGGCGGTGGCGACTGAAAAAATAGAGGAGAAACGGCGAAGAACGACGGCGACGAAGGCCTTATAACGCGGCTCAGAAGCAAAAGGAAGCCACGCAGGAGCCTTTCTCGAGCCAGCGCAAAGCCGAAGACGGCCACGAGCGCGCCTGGGAGCAGAAAGAAGATCGTCGGCGGTGAGGTGGCTTCCATGGTCACTGTTCACCTTATTTACAAAATTGCCACTCAATTTAAAACCCAAATTACTCCCAAATTTATGTAACAACTCAAAAATCTCCAAAAATAAAAGTTGTTCAAAATTCAAAGTTCTACAACTTTGCTTTTATAACCACCTCCTAATTTGGTCTACATTTTGAAATGCAAATTTGAATTCAAAAAGGGGACATTTAAAGAATTACGCCTTTTCAAATTACTTCAAATTTTATAAAATAACTTTGAAAACTCCAAAAACCAACTTTGTACAACTCGACAGGCTCTACACTTTTGCTTTTAGGCTCAATCCCAAAATGTGCTTAGATTTTGAAATGGGTTTTCCAGGGCAAACTTAAATGCTGAAATTAGGGTTTTTGAAAATTCAAATCCAAACAAAACTTTGAACTTGATTCAAACAATACAATTCAACACATACAACATAAAGGTAAACTTGTTTTAGTGAATGCACATCAAAATTTTCACTAATACGAAATGATGTATAATGCATATGATGACATGGCAGGTTTTAGTATTTAAACACCCGAGGTGTTACAATAATTCTAAAAGGAATTGGAATACATAGTGTTTCCATGGTCCACCACTCTCCCATACCTATACAAGTGTCCATGCATGGTGTGGAGTCCCAGTGGCATAGCGTTTTGTGGTTACGGAAGGGCTAGTGTCCGAACATCCAGACGGACAACGTGTTCGGGTGTCGTGCCACCTCCTTCACATGCGCCCACGCCCAAGGCGTACACAGGGACCACCTAAGCCCACTCCATCCGGACGCAACTCTTGTGCCTCCTCCGTCACGCGCGCACGCGAGAAAGCCTGCTCCGTTTTGGCCCGCATGCATACGAATGGCACCGGTCCCAGTCACCTGCCCCGCCTGCATATATGCACGCTGCAGAGGCATCTACCGGCCTTAGGCACCCGCACGGTGACCCACGGCGGCACCCCTGCAGCAGCAGCAAGCGGCCGCGGTAGGCCGCTGTCTGCCAGCCACCGGCTCCATTGCAACATATACTCCACCAGATCTACTTTTGAACATCTAGATGAAATGAAACACTTGAAACATACATGTGAAAACAAATGAAACACTTAAAACATACGTGTATAACCATAGCAACATATGCAACATCCAGATCTACTTTTGCAACATCTAGATAAAACACTTGCAACATACGTATGAAACACTTGAAAACATACGCTTGAAACAAGCATGTAATGCAACATAATATACTTCTACTACATCCAGATGAAACACATGAAACATACGTCTGAAAACAACTGAAACACTTGAAACTTACGCTTGCAACATAAAACATGTGTTTGCAACATGCGTATATAGCCATTGCAACATTCGAAACAACCTAATGAAACACTTGAAACATACATCTGAAACACCTAAAAACTCTTGAAACACGGCATCATCAGCGACCATGGCATACATGTGGGAAAACTATGGCAGCTAGTAAGCTCGTGTTAGGGGAGACGTCGAGAACAACGACCCATCGTACGCCTCCGCCACAGGGCTCTGTACCATGTGCGCACCACGGTACGGGACGACGGCGACATGGTAGGGAAGATCGGCGAGGAGGACAGGGAGCGGATGGACACCGCCCTTGCGGAGGCGCTGGAGTAGCAGGACGGCTCCATGAGACGAACAACAGAGGAGGACTATGAGGAGAAGCTCAGGGAGGTGGAGAGGTGTGCGGCCCAAACATCAAGCATGTGGGGCGGCAGGGATGGGGCGTGGCGTAGGATGGGCGTCTGGCGCGCAACGCGGTGCGGGGTTAGCTTTTGGTGAACGGAGAATGGATAAGAGAGCGAATGGATACGAGAGGGAAGGTGAGCGGTGGACTGCTTTTAGTGGGATGTGGGCTTGCGTCCGGACGTCAGGTAAGTAGCATTATTGTTGTGGTTAGGGTGGCCCATTGAACAAATTTTTTTAACCACTATAAATGTACCATGTTGATACACAAATATATCAATTACGAAACACAATTAAGATAAAGAAAACATAAGAACTTCATAAAAATAGATGAGTACATCTTTCCCAACATATAGATTTGAAATATTACATACCCGTAGTAATTGATGGACAGTACGTCACTCCCTATTCGCTTGGTCGATAAGCCAAACTGAAAAGTATTGTTCGCTGATTTTTTATGAGAGAAAAATATTATACCATGGCTGATAAGTTCAAGCAACACGTGTGTCTTATGCACTTTTGATGTCCGGATCGCCGATCACCAATCCTGTCTCCTATTTTTATTAATCGCTACACTACTCTCACATACCCGGATATGTTAAGTGTCCATGCAATGTATGGTGTGGATTAGAGTCCAATCTCAAAACTAATTGAAATGCATGACACGGTTATGATTATTGACATAGGAATTAGAGCAGCAAGCGTCTAAGCATAGTACAGAGTTTGATTCTCACTTCTCAGACAAATTGAAAAGCATGATATAATTGCTAACTAAATCTCCAAGCCACAAGTCATCCGGATAAACACACAGTAAACTGAACGTCCCGTTTCAATGCACAAGTATATTTGCTCATAATATATATAAAGAGTAAACTTGTCGAGGGGTATTATTTCGGTCCTCAAACTTTTTATTTGTAGTTTTAAGTTCTTAAACTTGCTAGGTACTCCTTAGTTTTAAATTAAATCATTTTTTAAAGTTATCTTAAATCAAATAATCATAAGTTTAACAAATATTTTTAGAAAATAAAACAAATATCTTGGGTCCATATCGTGTTACCAAACATAGTACCATCTTTTTTTTTGCGAATTACACAAGTACAGACATAGACGTTCAACACGTACGCACACAGTACATGATAAAAAATTAACTAGGATATAGTTAGGGAGCAAGTGAGTGTAAAGTTTGAGCTTGAACAGGAAATATTTGTTTTTTTTTTCTAATGATGAGACGCAATCGTTCCACTTGTTTGAGGAAAAAAGATCTCAAGTGGATGGACAGGAACGAAAGAAACATTTTTATGAACAATGATAATTAAATTTAGCAACCAATCTCATAAAATTTACATATATGTAAGTACTTTGAATGGTTTAATCGTAGGTCTATTGCCTATGATAGGAGGTGCGTTCATTGGGTCATGGGTGCATGGTTATAGCGTTTGCATATCCTTACCTTTTTTTATTATGATGATGAGGGGATCTTTACCTTGGTTTGGGCTCTTAATTATTTGGGCCGGTCACATGTTGGCCCAATTAACCCACCCAAGGCCTACCTACTGTTTTCTATCCACAAGGCCGGAAACGGTCCTAGAAAATGGGGGACCGTTGCACAGCCGCGGGCATCGCCTCCTCCCTTCGCTCCTCCTCCCCTCCTCGCCGGCGCGGCGCGGGCATGCTGGCCACCTACACGGCATCCTCGCTGAGGCGCCGCGAGCCTCGCGGCGGGGACGACCCACCTCGCGGTGGACCCGGATGAGCCGGGCGGGTCCGTGGTGGGAGGGCAGAGCAGAGGAGATGTTTGAGGAAATGCCTCAGCGGAGAGCTCCGCGCGGAGGCGAATTAGAAATGCTGTGCGGTTGTGCCCATCAAACCCAAGAATCTAGACGGGTTCCTGCACCTCGTGCGGTGATCGTGGCGCCTTGTTTACTCGCCGGGCCGCTGGGCGGCGCGGGTTGGAATCATGGATGACTGAATTCTCGTTGGAGAGTGCTTATGCGTTATCTACTCGGAAATTTCGTTCAACGCCTACCTGTTGACTTACAAGAATATACTGTTGAAGACTATGTATGATATACGAGTAAGTGACCAAACTCCTTTCTGTACTGGTTTCCTAATCAATTTTAGTATACTTTGTCACTGTCAATCGCTGCTTGTGTGTCCAGGAGCCTGGACGATGCTGAATATTTAGGAATGGAGCGCATTGTATAGCCTGCACCCACGGGTATCAGCTGAAGAAAAAGAGTGACGAAAAAGGTTAGTGCTTGGTTTGTTCCACCGAGCAGCTCCACGAACCTTTGTTGTTCTCTTGGATCAGATGGACTTTAGTCACCTAGCTACATTTTGTATACATGCGTGCAGGAACAGGCGTTGCATCCAAGATGGTCCTGTGGAATGGTCTAGGCCAAGCTGCCACTGTCGCACAACTGTCAGGACTTGACGCTGGTGGGCTGATCTGGATGATCATCCAGGCTGTGCAAACTGCTCAGCGGAACAGGGAGGAGTGCAGGCAGCTTGCAAACCATGTGATGATAATCAGCGACCTACTGCAGCTGCTTCAGCAGCCAGGAATGATGAGTTCCCCACAGATTAGTAGACCACTAGATGGATTGAAGGACACACTCCGGCAAGCGTACATGCTAGTCACATCCTGCCAGAGGAGCAGCACCATATACCGCTTCTTCATGGCTGGAAATCGGGCTCAACAGTTCCGCGATGTACGGAATAAAATTGATTCATATCTCCGTATCTTCCCTTTAATGAGCCACATCGACACCAGATATTTTATGAACAGATTTTGCAGAGGTGCCCAGCCCCAGGTAAAGATGCTGAATTAGTCATATGAAAGTGTATTGTTCCTATCGTTGCTCTTGATTTTACATCTCCATTTCAAAGCAGTAGAACGCATCTAGGACCCCTTTCTGGTAAATTAAGTATTTTGTAGAAACATAAAACCACGCACACCAATCATAACAGGGTCTAGAAACTAAATAAATGGTAATATAAAAGCTCATGACTTCATTAAAGTGAATGCTTATTGAAGTGATTCAGTTAAAGGCATGAAAGGACAGTTTATAATTGTCTGAATATTTTTCCTATCCTATTAGATGAACCAAATTTTGATCTGTATCTAGTTGTTTGCATAGATGGCAGGATCACTCCTCATCAGAAAGTCTTTCTAGAGCTTTGGTCGAGTATGTAACGTATATATGACGTGGAAAAATAATTTCCTAACTATCCTATATTTTTGTTTCTTGATTGAACCAGAAGGGAAGCCCATGGTATATATTTTCTATCAATAAAAGAGAGGATAAAATATGTACAGGTGCAAAGGATGTAGACTCAGAAAAAGATCCTAAAAAAAAGTCAAGAACAACTACTACTGGACCAAACAACTAAAGTTCTTTCATGGATGGCTTTGCTCTGTTCACTAGCTAGGCTAACTCCTCTATGAAAGCTTTTCAACATTTCTGTAGAGTCAAGGTCCCAGCATTACAATTGGCAATTTATATTGGCTATACAGCATTGCTAGCTAGGTTATCTGCTCAGTAAATACAAACTAGTTGTGGGTTCATAGGGAAAGTTAACCATGCCATTTGTAAATTTACTAAGCAGGACGTACATTTAAGTTCTGAGACATGATTAACATAATGGTCTGATAGAGTGATTTCGAGCTGCCTCAACAAAACTCTACGTTATTCCAATGGAAAATCCTAGCTTTATGCTTGGGAATTGGGATCTACTTAACCATGGTTATCGGTATCTTGAATACTGTACGAGTACAAATAATCCCTACACTAATCCTTACTTGTCCTTTGAGGAACCAAGGCTATTTTTAAAAAACTCTTTTGACTGTTACCTTTATAATGATATTGTACTATTAAAGTCCTAAATCTGTAATAACATGAAAGTAACTTTTGTAATTAATCTATTATATGATCACTTTCATTTGAGATGTTAATGTTTTCACTCATATTAGTGATCAATTTTGTAAAGGAAAAGGATCGAGTACATCATTCTAGAACAGCATCTATGCTCTTCTTGAAGTAGTATTATAATAGACTGAGCTTGCTATTTCAAACCACAAATGGGATCGACTACATCATTCTGGAACAACATCGATTCTCCATATGATGGTTCTAATCTCCTATGATTCTGATCTCTTTATTTCAGGCTTCAGAAGAGGCTCTAGGGTCATTTACCAGTAATTTAAGTGCTGATGCTCGGTATGGTTTTATTATATGCATTTCCTCCTTGACATGACGCCACATTTGTGCATCTTATTCACATAGTTTACATTACATCATGTGTTGAGTGAGTACAAGGATCTTTCTCAAAGCAAAGCTAAAGGTGCCACTAATTTAATTTGTCTAATGTCATTTGTTGAACATTGTTTTTAGGAAGACTTTAATACTATAGAGAATATATTCGTTCTATGGATTAATTATGCATGTCAGAGGTCAAAAGTTTTCTGTAGAATCACGAGTACTGATCCACTTGTTCAGCACGATTGTGGCCATTCTAGAATCACAGTTCATCTCTTACATAGATGGCCTTAATAGATTTGAACTGGAAAGTATGATTGCCATTTTTTTGTTTCAAATTACTCAATTTTTAGCTTTCACTAATGAGTTACAAACAATGTTCAGGTCCGAAGCAAGTGCTTTTGATGAAAATGAATCAGCAGAAGTTCGAGAAGGAACTGAGTCACTTTCAGTTGGGCAACAGCAAGAAGGTATTTCCATTGGCAATTTCTGTGGATGAATTAGGTCTTTAAAGTAAAATAGCATATTTTTAAATATTCTGTTTAAAACCATGAATTCTCTGATGTCATATTTGTCCAACTATGTTGGTTACAAAAATGATAAATGCTTTCTCCTCCAAGATATCAATCTTGTTGGTACAATGATGAAACTTAAATTATTTTACTGGTTTGTCATGTCTTCGATTGCCGTTCTCACCGGTGTAGGCCTATCTGTAGGTTATGGGAATGCTGAATTGTTGCCAAGTATAAGGAATCCATTTAGGTGGCTTGTTTGGTGGGTACAAAGGGAGGCATCAACAGCTCAGTCCATCAATCGTCTCATTGGTCATCAAGGAATAGGTAATATTCTAGAAAACTACTTAATTATCATTAGAATGAATTCCTATCATACATGTTATGCATGCTTTGAAGTAAAAGATGAGCTAGTTATGTAAATAAGCTCGCAACCACTGCAATCCCCTATGTGGAAAAGTTTTCTGGTACTGACTACTGAGTATGGATCCTATGTCTCTTTTATCCAGCAGGCTTTACAGTTTTCAGCTTCTCTCAGCTGGCTGCCTCTACAAATAATTTCTCATCTAGCAATATCGTTGGAAGAATCAGCCATGGTAATGTTTACAAGGTAGGGTACATGCTTGGTTCTCTGGTGCAATCTGTAGCATCTGCAGGTCCTTAGTTGGGGATATACTTATAGGTTACCGCTCACATACCAATACTACCAAGATGGGAATAGCCCCTCCACAGTATAGCAACTGGCAACATACTCACATAGACAATGCACCTACTAGTTTGCCTTTGTTGATTATTTTATACATGTGCCACTTGCTTGTATTCTCTTCATTTTGAGTTAAAGATACTTCTGTTTTTTTAGCAACCGAAAAATTGCAATATTTTCCTCAGGTCAATACACCTGTATAAATATGAAGATTAGATATAGACAGGTGATGTTTAGACTTTTCTTTTCACCTTTTCAGGGTGTATTGTCAAATGGGGTTCATGTTGCAATTAAAACCAGACGAGAAGATACATCTGGTGTATCTGATTTTCAAAATGAGCTTCAGATTGTCCGAAATCTTCAGCATGCAAATATCATTAAACTTGTCGGTTGTTGCATTGAAGGAGACAATCGGATTATTGTCTATGAATATATGACAAGCGGAAATTTATCCCATAAAATTCACGGTACATTTCACCTTAATATTCCCTTTACTTGATACTCTTTTTTACTTTATTTTGCTTAATTTGCCCACTCTAAATGCTGTCATTGTCGCAGAGGTTAGAGCAGGTTGCTCACTCGCCTGGCCTGTACGGTTTCAGATAATTGAAGGAATTGCCCATGGCACAGTTTATCTACACCAGCACTCCCGAGCACGAGTAGTTCATCGGGATCTGAAACCAACCAATATTCTCTTAGATCATGATATGACTCCTGTAATTACTGATTTTGGCATAGCCGAAGTCTTAAATTCTGATGAAGATGAGAAAGCAACGGATGCAGTAGTAGGAACTTGGTAAGAAAAGCCTAATGCTCCTGTCCATCATGAATGCTCTTGTCTATCGTGACTAAGTGTTAGTGATTAAATGGTTTCAATCTTTTTGGTCTTTCAGTGGTTATATGGATCCTGAATATTTTTGCACGAATATTATCTCAACCAAGAGCGATGTTTATGCCTTCGGTGTAACTCTTCTTGAGATAATAACTGCACTACCCGCTACATATGGCTCAGAGAGGCAAGCATCCTTGGTTGGCTATGTAAGTAAAATTGTCGAAGTACTTGGTAACTGTAATCCTAGATTGTCCTATTGCTCCTAGACCATATCTAAATGTGCAGTAATAGTTATGCACTGCAAGCACTGATGCATGTTATTCTGCTTTACCATGTAGCAAAGCTCGTTGAGTGACTTAGGACATGCATCTGGTTTCCCTATATGCAATAGCTCACAGTACTGTGGAGCTCCACACCCAACAGCATTCCCTTGTTTTAAAGACACCCCAAATTTTCTATTCAGATCTATTATATGTTCTGCCTAATTTTGTCAGTGTTTTTTTTAAATACTGGGATTTTTAGTCATTTCAGATTATGACTTTTGCAGGCATGGAAATTATGGTCACTGGGCAGAGCAGTGGAGCTTATTGACCCCTCACTATCTGACGAATCTCGAATAGTTGAGATACTTCGATGCATTCAGATAGCACTGCTGTGCGTCCAATTTAATCGTGCTGACAGGCCCACTATTTCAGATGTTCTCATGATGCTAAAATTGGAGAGTATGACCTTACCTGTGCCTAGGCCACATGAAGATCCATGGAGTTACAGAGTGAGGGGTTGGTCAGAAGATGACATTGAAACAGCAACAAGTACAAGCTATACAAGTGCAGTGTGCTTGACCGAAGAAGAAGAAAGCTCTTCATATTTCAGCTGATGTTCAAGTGACATGGACGCTGATGATACAATCATTTATGCCTGAGAAGAAGCAAAATATATAGCATAATAGCAACAATGTGGCTAGTTAACTGTTCCTCGCTGCCAATCATGCAATGTGTTGTACTCAATATCTTTTGTGCAAGCACTCACTCTCTGTTGTAAAAATATGATAAGGATGCTGGATACTTTCTTTTTATTTTCTAGTGTCTCTGTTTGGACTCGATTAAATTCTAAAATTCATGGAGTAACCTCCTCATTAGAACGCCTCTAGTTTCTCTAGTTTGCAGTGTTGTTGAAGTGGAATGATGGATTAGAGAGTGGGACAATAGTAAATACTGAGCCTTCGATATCCACAACATCAGACAGGTTCTTCTCGATTTCTCATGGTACTCGGGGGCAATATTTGTCCTTCAGAAGATGTGGACAAGATACTACGAAGTTTTGGAGGGACGACAGCTCCTTATGCTTTTATTACCATGCATGATGTAGGTGGTGATTGCCCTGCTCGATATATAGTTTAGCACCTGGTGTAATTTGTATGGAATTAGCATTATCTGTGTGACTGTCATCTGCATGCACAATTTGTACATCTGCTCTCTCAACTCTGCCACCAAAATACAACTGTGCAAGGGGAATATCCTTGTGATGGAGAATAAAATACCCCTACACATCCAAGTACCCAACAGATTGGTCATGGTGGTCAGTATTGCAGAGGAAGCATCGCGGCAACTGTTTCGCAATGATCGGTGCTGACGAAGTTTGGTGAGCTGTCATATACGTATCTTACTATATTAAATACTCTCTCTGTTTTAAATTATAAATTGTTTTGATATTTCTAAGTACATAATTTTTATTATATATACACGCTATGTCTAGGTACACAACAAAAAATATGTAATAAAAAAAGCTAAAATGACTAATAATTCGAAATGGAGGAAGTACATTTAGGGGCTGGTACTGCATCCAGTCTTGAAACAAGGTATTTTGTGCCTTTTCTTTTCACAACTCTACAGTGCTAAGAGGAGGCCACGGCGCCACCACGCCTGTGCATGGCGTGGCGTCATCCGAGACTGACACGTGTGATACGGCGGGCGACGACTTCGGCTCGGCCGTGCTCGGGCAAGCCACACCTGGCTTGGAACTGCTTATCTTAGTATTCTAATCAGGATTTTTAATAAGCTGTAGTCTAAAAACTTTAGAGCATGGTAGAACCGGGATGAGTTGATAACCTTGATTATTATGGCAATTCTAAGTGTAAAAAAGGACCTTTGTGTCCTTCTTTCTCCTTGCCGCTATCCGACGAGGAAGGAAGAGAGACTGAGTGAGGTAGCCCCGAGCAGGCGAGAGGCGAGCGGCTAAGAAGGGCCAAGGTTGAGTTTTGCACCCAAGCGCGCGCGTGAGAGAGAGAGAGAGAGCTGAGGGATGGAGGAGAGCCGAGCAAGCGATAGAGTGGTGATATGTACAGTGAGAGTAGATTGGAGGAGCCCGTGGCGGAAAAAACACAGTCCAAACCTCACGGTACATGATTCCTGACTCCCAGTTCAATTTTAGATTATTTTTTCCTTCTTATTCTCACTTTTCGAGGAGAAGTCAAACGGTTTAGAGTGTGGCAAAAATTATAAAAAAACATAAATATAACATTTATGATATAAAATAAGTATTTTTAAATTAATTATGTAATATATTTTTATAATAAATTTAAATTGAAGACATAATTGTCAATATTATTTACTATAATTTTAATCGAATTTAAGCTAGTTTGACATAAATATCACAGATATATAATTCTGTGGATGGAAGGAGTAGTTTTGATGGGATTCTGGATTATTTTGACGGAGAAACCGATTTGGAGCGGTTGCGGCTCCAACCAAGTGGTGGGGACGGCTGGACGCACCGTTTCTCTCAAACACCGTTCACCCCACTGGGCGCCAATCTGCCGTCCGATCAAGCGCGTGCGGCCCAGATCGTCGCGTCGCAGGAGAGAGTTCTCTTCCTCCTCTGGCTTTCGCTCGCGGGACCTCCGCTCCGCCGCCTGCCCGTCGGCCCGCTCCTTTCTCTGGGGCTCGTCGCTGGCTCCTGCACGCGCCATGTCTGCCGCGCACGCGCGCTGCACCTACCTACGGTCTCTCGAGTGGCGGAACAGAGCCGACGTGTGCTAGCCTGCAAGGTAGGCAGCACATCGCCGGAAGGGGAGAGCGCCAACAGTGGCCATGGAGACGCCGTGGCCGCGGCGTGGTGCTGGTGGAAAGCGAGCGCTTGGAGCGGATTCCGCTGGGGGGCGCGTTCATCTGGCGCGCTGCCTGTGCCCAGAACCCCAGGCGGAGCAGGTGCTGCCACGGCCCACGGCCAGCGAGAGCCTTCATTCGCTCTCCCGTCGCCTCAGCATGCCGTCCAGTACGTACCTTCTTGTGCTCATGTAACTGGTTGTTCTGTTCGTCATGAAGTAAATCAACTTGGCCTGCCACGCTGCTGGTGTCAGTTTTATTGGAATTTGGTCCACAGCGCAGGTGTTGTGGAAATGCCCACGAACAGGAAATTGTCCTTCAGAGCGCAGGCGGTACCGGGGCAGCAGGGCCCTGACCTCAACGTGTTTGAACAAATGCTGCAACGTGGCAGATTATCCATGGAGAAGAGACCCGTTGTTTCTGATGTCTTAGTGCAGCGGAGGTGGGCCTGGGAAGGCAACAAGCAATAATTGCTGTTTTGCAATAGCCTGTAGTCACACATTGGCTCGTGTCAACAGCTGCGAAGTGTGTAGTCACTGGAAAACTCCTAGCCTCATGTTCAGTGCATGAAGATGGAAGACCATGCAACCTAGTGGAAGACTCACTGGAAGTTACTGAGAAGTTTCGATACCGTGTTCTTTCCAAAGTGGCCCATATTGGCCTGTCAGAGTCACTGCAAATTTCGTGGAAATTAGTCCTCAAGAGTCAGGTAAAGTGGCTATTATCCCGTGACTTCTCTTCAAGAACGGAGCTCCTCTTCTTCTCAAGTTTAGCCGTCTGGAGTCTCTGAGGACTGAGGTAGATCAGGTAACAAACCAGCCCCCAAGAGCATGGCACTCTCGAATGGCGTGGGTCAGGTAGCCAGCATCGTGCAGCTCGCTGGTGTGGATGCGTACAGTCTGATCTCAATGATCGTGGAGGCCGCACAGACGGTTAAAAGGAACCGGGAGACCTGCCAGCTGCTGGCACGGCGTACAAAGATGATCGGAGATCTTCTGCAGCAGCTCCAGAGCACGCAGCTGATGCAGCACATAGAGACGAGGATCCCTGTGGAGCAGCTGGAGGAGACGCTTCGGCACATGTACCTGCTCATCACGTCATGTCGGGAGGGCAGCTACCTGCACAGCTGCTTTATGGGAGGGAGGCAGGCTGATCAACTCCGTGAGGTGCAGAACGAGATCACCTTCTACCTTCAGCTCTTACCCCTTGTCAGCTTTGTTGACACCACCCGTACATGGGAGCGAATTCTGAACAGAGATCGTCCTTTGTGTACAGAGGTACGGATTTTTGACATTGTCATGTTTCAGAATTCCATGCCTACAACATGTTCAGATCAAAAAAATTTAAAAGTTGCTGTTCTAGTGTAATCATGTGCTCAGTGCAACTCTTAACTTTCAGTTTGGCTGATTTTTTTGGTCAATCAGAGAATAGCATTATGTGGAAACCTCTGAGATTAGTGATGGTTTACACAACTCAAGCCTCTTGGTCACAAAACTGCATAAGGCTTAGTAGTTGTCTAAAAATCTAGTTCAAAGGAACTTAAATATAAGGAGCAGCATGTAGCCAATTTACATGCTTTTCATGGGGAAATATTTGCTAACATCGACCTCCCATTGTGACATACCATGCATTGTATAAAATTTAAGATTCAAAATGTCGTCGATAGCAGTTTTTCCTGGGGTATTTTCTAATTAAGGGAAAAGTTATGCTCCAAGGATCTTATTGCTTTTATTCTTAATTTTCGTTTGCAAGGAAACTGAAGGCGGGATACACACAGTTCATTCGCAATATGACAGTAGGTATATTATATCAATGGTTTCCCTTTTTCATGTCACATTCTTGATGCATGATCCCCTCGTTTATTGGGATTTGGGACCACTGTAAACCTGCCTCATGATACCTCCATTTCATCACAGGTTTACACTGAACAATTCATAAATATCTTAGCTAGTACTCCACGAAATAAAATTTGTAGAGCAACATAGCTCTGCTCAAAATATGAATATGCTAAGGTTTGTAATATGAAATTTATGCACTGTGTATGCAGTATTTGTCGTGGTGTACAACTCTGGTGGAGATGATTAAATTAGTCGAACTCGACCTATTACATAGTCAACATGTGTGATACTAGTTATATCAATCAACAAAACTTTCTTCTCATCCGCCCTGCCCAGTGCCCATAAATACAAATGAAACATATTGCCTCTGATTCTCTCAATAGAAGTCTTGATTGTTCATGAAAAAACAGCCACGTCTTGATGTCATTTATTCATATAACCTATCATTTCTGTATATTTGGTACTGTATCAGCCTCACAACTAAGGACCTCAAGGCATTTATATTTGAAGATTCAGGTTCTCATCCTGTCCTAAAATCTAGGGGACAGCAAAATCTAGGTATGCCCATGCACGTACCCCACAATTTCTTGTTTGTTTCTAACTGTGGCACTGTGCTATATATTTGCAGTGCAGATTTAAAAAGTGCAATTTTCACGTAAATATACATCAGCAATCCTGCAGCATCCTTCGGCAGAGAACATGTTTGAGAGAAAAAAAAAACTTCATCGAAGTTTTGATGCAGATTTTCATGAAACAACCTTGTTCAATACAGTAATAGTTAAACTATCTTCTCAAAAAAAATTAAGCCCATGAAGGGCGACTTTAGACAGATGATTGCCGTACTATTTTCTTCCAAAACCGTTTTCTTATGCACTCATAAATGATTGAGCCTCTCATTTTCTCGTAGGCTTGAACCTCCTGATACCATCAGGATCTTCATATTTTGCTTCCTCCTCTTTACTGGATGGAGGGTTGCAAAGTATTTTTGTCATTTGCGAAGTGCTAACATGCACATATTATGCAATTTTATCTAGCAGCTATGTTAACTTTGTTGTATTATGTTCATGTCACACATATTGGGTCACTAAGATTTTATTTTTCCTTACTCTCTGATACATCTATGTAACTCTGGAATACAAACATGTCAATTGCCAATATATGTGAATGTACATAATTTCGTCATATTTGACACATATTGGTGCCTTTTATTTTGATGAAAAGGTAGAATAGAGCATAACCTTTGATGTAATCAATGCAGATTTTGTGTCACCAGGGCATGGAAAAATTACTTTCTCGTTCTATCCAACAGTCTGTCAATTTCATTTTAAGAAAATTATAGAAGTTAACCAGAATGAGGACCCCTTGATGTAGAAAATCCCCTCATCTGTTCTTCCATAACTCTGTTGAATATGCACTTTTGATTTTAGACTTTAAGGGAAGCTTTTAATTATTACTCTACTTCAGTTATACTCTAGTTTGCATTATTACTAGGAGGATGATATCTGTAAGTTAGTCTTTACTCTTTCAAACACATATGACTGCTATTTATAATCAGTGACTTGGTGGGGTTTCCTGTAAACCAGGCCACGGCATGAACATGGGAGATGTAGCAAATACCATTTGTGATCGAGAAGAAGAGTTGCTGCATTTTAGTTTCTCTCAGATTTTGGTTGCTACAGACAATTTATCAGAAAGAAACTTGGTTGGAATTGGTGGATTTGGTCATGTTTACAAGGTAATGTTTTGAGACAATCTTTATGATCTATGAGTTCTTGAACTGTTCAAGTATGACATCCAGGTCAAAAGAATTCTCAGAACACACCCTCCACGTGGTGATAGGGCCCCTCATGTGGCACCTTGCTCGTGTTACTCCAGCAGCCTACAAGCTTGAAAAATTTCTAGTCCCCTTATACATCTTTAGATTTGTTCTTCAACACTGACATTTAATTTCTTTAGGGCAAACTGTTGAATGGTCTTGACAATTTAAAAGAAAATAAATCTTCAACTCAAGGTCCAGAGCAGTTCAGAACTGATATTGAAGGCATTCCAAATCTTCATAATGCTTTTACATGGCATCTGTCATTGCTGGCAAGTTCTCAAAGTCTCTTTCATTTTTTTTTGCTCATTGTTAAGCAATGGTACTTCTCAATTTTAATGTTTTGAGACAATCTTTCTGTCATTGCTGGCAATGATCTATGAGTTCTGTTGAATGTCTTTGTTGTAGATGAAACAAATGAAAACATGCCATTGAATGATTCCATAATTCCGGGCAAAGAAATCTTTGATCTGGACATGAGTGCCATTGAAATTGTTTTTTGGTTCCATGAGGCCACTTGCCCTCATGCAGCAAACAACAGTTATCTCCAGGTTAAAAAGACACTTATGCCCTCCTTCATAGATCAAAAATTCACATTCTATTTGTGCCACTACATGCTCTCGTATTTTTGGTTATAAATACATGGACATAGAGTAATTAGCATCATAAACATGTACAGCAAAAAATGGAAATGATTAATATTTATATAAATTTCTCAAAGCATATCATCTAAATGCACATAAAGTGACACAAGAAATTTGCAGAGAGAGATATAACAAGTCTAACAAACACTTATATAACATGAGAATAACATAGGTTGACATTCCAAGTCTAAATGTCAAACTCTTACATAAGTGCTACGCAATAAATCTTACATCAGTCTCCACCAACATGGCGGTCTCACATATATAATATCCAAAAGAAGATGAGACATTCCACAATCTTCATGCAAAAGAGAACACACAACAATTAGACATCTAGCTTCCTTTTGCTTCTAGTGCACAACTTGGGCTTCCAGGAGTGGAATGATCTATTTTGCTTCTAGTGCACATCGCTGGGAAGGAGGAGGCGCCGCCTTCTTATCCTGCACAAGCTTGGACTTGGCCCTCTTTGAATACATGCTCTGTAGTTGGAAGCATGATTGCCCATAAAAAGCTTGGTTCTGACATTGTATGGAAGTTAGGGTTAAGTAAAGTTCTATCAAAGTGGTTCTCTTTCAGTTAGGTTACTTACTTGATTGAGCTTGATGATTGTCCTCATTGTTAAGCAATGGTACTCTCAATGATTGCTGTTGCAATGTGTCTTTATGTCTTTTTGTAGATGAAACAAAAGAGAAAGCTTGATGATGATTCTTTTTCTTGGTGTGCCATTTGAATGATTCCAGGTTCATTTGTTTTTCTTCTTAATTTTGGAGGCCTCTATAACATTTATTCATCTTTCATTACAAGAATTGAAAATAAAGATTTACAAGAAATATAAATAGAGTTGCAAGAGTTATGAAGTTTGATAATACCTCGGCTGCAAGCATGGCAGCTTTGTCCACTGATCACCATCTTTGCGGGTCCACCAGTGGTGTCCATGTTGCTTGCAAATTGGACAACAGTGCCTCCTTTCTCTACCTTGGTTAAAAAGACTTGCTTTTATGCCCTCGTGTCTTTCTCCTTCCAGAAGTTGATTTGAGAAGTGGTGGATGCATGAAGAAACCATGCCGAGACTAGCCATGAGACTTATGCAAAGTGGAATTGCCTCCTCATATGATTTGAACATGTCAATGGAGAAGTAGGAGTCCACGTGATCCTCAAGATTCTGACCTCTAATAGAAGTGATCATAGCAATTGCATGATTGCAAGGCTTTCCTGAAACTTGCCAAATGGACGATAATGAGGTTAATAGCATACCATATATATAAGCATGTTGCAAGGATTCAGTTTAATTAAAATAAGACCATCAAGGTAATTAGCATCATAAAAAGTGACCACAAGATTTAGATTAATTAAAATAAAACCAGCAAAGTAATTAGCATACATACGAAACCCAAGCCCTCCTTATCACCTCTCCACTGATATCGAACCTTCAAGCACATCCATATCCAAATTTATGCTCCTCTCCTTTAGGTTTTTCACAATATGGGGTAATATCTTGCCTTCCATCCAATTTTTCTCTCTTTTATTCTACTTGACCATGTGATCATGTCCATAAGATCATCTAAGTAAGATCTTTTTCACTCTTGATCCAGCTTGTTGAAGCTCTCACTAGATTGTTAGTTACATAATCTACCTTAGACATCGTCCACAATTTGGTGTGATTTGTCTTCACATATATAATATCATGCCAATGCTTGTTAAAATAAAGAAGATTGTGAGACATTCCACAATCTCATGCAAAGAGAAAACACAGCAATTAGACATCTAGCCTTTCCTTTTGCTTCTAGTGATGATTCCAAGAATAATGCCAAGTTCTTATCAAATACCTTTCCATGATTCTTTTTAAAGTTACTAAGTGCACCATGCACTCCCTATGCTCTACATTTGAAAATTTTGCTTCTACAGTGCCATGATTGCTTGACTATGCATCTTGACATATCGACAATCCCGTGGTGTGCCTATAGCATTCTTGAGTTGCTGAAAAACCAACTCCAATTCTCAAAGTGGTCTCTAAGTCAAACACTCCAAGTCCAATGGATACATCTAGTTGTGCCCATCTATCGCACAAGCTCTCGCTAGTTAATGAAGCATGTCAAAAATGTGCTATCAGCAGACCAAATAGGGCCTACATTCTCTAAGAAAACCATTGACATGGTTTTAGTGCAAAAAACAGCCTTCTAAACCTGATCTTCTCCTCGATGGTGTAGTGATATATGCAATACTATGGAAGACATGCCTCTTCAACTGCCGCTGCTTTGAATCAGCATAGGTTGTTGAAGCTAGTGTCCCAATCACCAAATAATTGTTTCAGTGTACCAACTCTTTACCATAAAACCCCTTTTATATGACACAACAACTTTATGTGTATCTTTTGATCCTTCTCTGTAGTTCCTTAGGTCCAATGCTAGCATCTTCCACTAACCAATCCTTGGCTTCTTCCGCTTCTTTCCTCCTTTTACTCTCACATTATGATCATCGGGGTTTTTCTTCACTGTCAAACAAAAACATGGCAATGTCGTCAAATTAGATCATAAATATGTAAAAAATTGGAAAGGACAAACCTTTTATCAAAACTTGTCTTGCATTGTTGATGCATGGATAAATATGACACCCTTCGATTGGATGAAGGACTAAACCTCCCTGGATTTCACTCAGAATGTTATATTCAAACTCATGCTTGATTGTTGAGCAATAGCCAACTTAAACACATTCATGTTGGGATAAATTCGCCTACATTGGTGGGTCATTAACATCATAATTTGGTGGGAGGCATCATCCTCATCCAATGAGGCATCATCGTCATCATAAACACGGTTCTATAGGCTAGATGATCTCTTCATGATGAGGATCATCAGCAATAAAAACCTTAATCGTAACCTCCTTGTCTTGCATCACTTTCATGATCACCCTCATCATCATTCCAAGATGCTCATTTTTGATTCACAAGATTGAGTCCAATGTCATTACACATTCATGTTGGGTACCATGGGAATACTAGATTTTGTAGGTTGGGGTCAGCTTTGAGAGGATCATTTGTGGCAAAGAAGGTGTACAAGGGCTAGGTGGGTAACAACATTGGATATGTTCCAATCAGGAGGAGGAACATGAGGCATCATCAGTATCAAAGTAGCCAATGGATATGCGGATGACTTTAGAGTCTCATGCTTAGCAAACATTGTTTGCAGGACATGTCTGCATTTGATTTCACATGGGATTCCCTCAGGTCATCATCTCCAACATGCTCATTTTAGGGTATGATTGCAAGATAGATGTCATCAATAAGTCTCGAAATTAGTATAGTGTAGGTTGGGTACAACCTTGAAGTTGGTACTATACCAGCCACCCTCCACTCTAGCATTGTTACCAAAGCAATTTCATATCAAGGAAGAAACTTGTTTTGTGATCAATGAGAAGGTGTATCAAATCGGAAGCATCTAGGGTGAAACACAACAAGAAACATTGATAGATTATTTTCCAATCGTGAAGGAACATATGGCTTAAGATCTCATCTCATGGACATCGGATACAAGGCATTAATGTTTAGAAGCATATCAAGGAAGAAACTCTCCTTTATTACTCCATGGTATATATTTGGTAATTTAGAAGCATGTTTGATGAATTCACTATCCTCAAGGGTATGAAGAAAACCCAAATTCAGCCTCTATGAAGTCTTCATCTTGCAACAACAACAGTCAAAGGTGGGCTATCATTGGCAGCTGTTTTGGTTTTTTCTTGAATTGTATGATGAAAGGGTATTTACAAGACACAGCACACTTATCTCTTGCTACATACAACAGCACAAGAGATTATTCAAATCTCAAAATGGGTCTTCATGCTTGCTGTCCACAGAAGGACAAGAAGTCACTGCAGTGTCCGCGCGGAGGAGAAGAAAGGGCATAAGGATGTTTGAGAGACAAGCATATCAAGGCTTCCTCCTTGTTTTTATTATTGTGGTATCCGGCATTATAGGGTAATTTGAATGGGGGATGTTTTTCTAAATTCACCATCTCGCCACTACATTTTATGGGAGCACCTAAAATTCATCAAATAACTGGAACAAGCTGATCATGCATAGAAATAGATGTATATAAACAGCAATCAAACAGCAAGGCCGTGGACGGGATTTCTCTTTGGGCTGTTTTTTCTCTGATTATGTATGTATTTTTGTAAAGCGGGAAGTGTGAGGGATCGTGGATTAAATAGGTTACCACGTTAGGGGACTCAGGACAAACATGCCAAGTTCACCCAAAGGGCAGAGGTCAGTGGGAACATGAAGTTATTGTCTTATTGACAATAGTGTTGAAAATGCAGTGGCTGCCATTAATTTTTTGGCACTGAGTCAAAGATCCAGCCTTGAACTGGAATCCTGGTCGCTTCTTCAAATAGCGATCCTTTCTTTTGCGGGACATCATCCTAGATGGATTCTTGTTTATAATCTTGCAGATCACTGTGACTGAGCTGTATATACTTCAAAAGTTGCTACTAAAGACAGGCATGTGATACACAGTATTTCTCTTACATATACCAATTTGTGAATTATTTCAGTGGCATCATAAAGCAGGAAGGATGAACTAATGAGCATATATCAGGAAGAAGGCTGCTCCTCAGGCATTGCTAAGTTAGTCAGATGATTTTTCAATTACTATAGTTGTTAAAAGGGCTTGCTCATGGAAGCAAAGATCACTAATGGAATGTCCAAATCA